ACCTGCAGAGGGACGACAGAAAAGAGAAAAAAAAGGAAGCAAGAGAGGTGATGTGACCACGATGAGGAGGAGGACGAGAAGCAGGAGGAGGGAGGAGACAGGGGTTTATATTACCAGATTGACAGTGACAAATCAACATGATTTACAGGATGACACACTCCTATTTCAAATGAAGTGCTGACATCTGGCTAAACAGTAGGGGAGAGCGTCCAGCTGGAAAGGTCACCAAAAATGCACACAGGCATTTGATAGTGGTTTCTGTGAGGGGATAAAACACAGGGACATTTACTCAAGTACTACTACCACTATACTGTGCTCAAATAAAGTTTTTCTAGTTCATGCTTCTTTATACTCTATACTAGATTCCACTATATTTCAGAGGGAAATCTGTTCGTTTTACTTTTAAACATTTATTTGACACTAGTACTAGTTCATTTGCAGATTTCCATACATCTTCTACTATATGATGCACCGTTATAGAATAAACCGTTATAGAAAAAGCCACCATCACTGGCAGTTACGTCTAATAAATATTAACGCAATTCATTCAGATCATTTAAAAGAAGCTATACACAGTTTGTTTGTGTCTGGTTTCTTACAACCGCTCCAAGTATGTTACATTGCAAAAGTAACAAACTGATGCTGTTTCAATGATGTCACTCAAGGCTAGCAGTGAGGGTTACTGTGTAAGAATTAGCTATGACATGTTTATGCACAGGTTAAACAAACAAGATACAGTATATCATAATATATATAATATATAATCTTTTTGGACAGAGCCAGGCTACACATTTTCCTTCCTTCTGGTATTTATGTTAAACTATGCTAACCATGTCCTGGTTCTATAGCTCCGTACTTAACGGACAGACATGAGAGCGGTATGGATCTAACTCTTTGTAAGAAAGCAAATATCAGCTTTCCAAACTGTCAAACTATTTCTTTAAGTCAAGGATCTTCCACTACTGAGGACATGCACCCTAATGCGCACATACATCCTCATTCAGGGAAGAGACGTGTCTAATCTAAAGCTCCCATGAGAATTTGAGCTGCAGTAGAATTAGATTTCCGCTAATCTGATCTCCATAGATTAGAGAAAGAATTCTGGCATTTTGTGTAATTAAACAAATTATGTGTGTGAAACATAAAAGAGGCACGTATGCCCACATTCAACAAGACTGACTAAAGAGCTAGCCTGCATCGTGCACAAACTATCCCTCCATGAAACCTCAGCTCTCATATATACTGCACCACCTGAGATTATTAGTCCCACAGGAGTCAGCTGACAACCAGAGAACCACTGTTCCTCCACACACACCCTCCCTGTGACTCCATCTCTAAACTAATAAGGCCTCTGGAGCTACAGGACAGCAGGAAACAGAGGAACAATCTGTTTCCTGCAGCAGGAGGTTATCAATCTAACTAGGCATTAGTGGTGTAGAGAAAGGAATGGATGGGAGTATGGGAAGAATCAGAGGTGAGCAGAGAAAGGTAAGAAGAAAAGATGATGGGGTACTGCAGAGGGGGAAATGTTGGCGTAGGAAGCAAAGGAAAAGACAAATATACTGAGCGGATTATAAACGACAAGAAGGTTCTGGTGAAACTCATAGACTCTGTCGTGGACAGAGAAAAATGACAAAATGTGGAAAAAAACACCTAAGCTTTTTAAGGTTTATGACTCTTTGGAGTAGAGGTGGAGGTAGTAGTGTGTGTAGTAACAGCAGGTCTGTTTTGATGGCTCTCTTGGGGGTGAGTCTTTGGCAGGACTCCTTCCCGCAGCAGTGCCGGTTAGCATCTCGCCTGGCTTTCCCAGCCTGGCCACGCTGCTTCGCTTCATCTCCGTCCAAAGACAATAAACACAAAGTGAAGCGAAGACAGGCAGCAGCCCGGTCATGCACACAAGATTTGACTGCAAAGTGACCTGATGGGCTCTCAAGTAAGTCTGAAAGGGCTTGTTTGACATGTGGTGAGCTGGACTGATTCGGGTGTCTCCTATTTGATTAGGGTGGAGATACATGGAGGGAGGAACTGTTCCAAACAATGACTCATATGAGCATTTTATGGTCTGCCACCTCGACAGTTAAGGTCTGGTTATGTTCGGGGCAGATCGCTGTCATGGTTTAAAGAAACCAGTGCTGACTGATGGTAGGAGACGGAACGTGAACCACAGTTCCCCATGTTAAAATCATAACATGCCTAACTATTCACCCCGACCTCCTCCGTCCTCTGTAAGACTAGAACATTGTCATGCTACTTGCATCAGGACAGTCATTATTCACACAACCACAAGAGGTTTATTGTCAGGAAAATGTGGGGTATGTGATTTTAGTGATGCTAATCCAATACACTTTTTTTTGTCAAATTCAGCGAATATCTCGTCGCGGTCCGTAGCTGTCCAAGTCACACAATACTATTCCAGCCATTCCAGACAGGATTTGTGTGTGTCAGGTAATGATAAATTACTCTCGCCCACAGACTTTCAACTTACTTTCTAGTTTGCCAAAGATAGGCTGTTGTTGTGATGTTGGCTATAGTAGCAGGAGAGTTGTGAGCTGTCTGGAGCTGGAACCGTCTCGTCCTCTCTGCATGGTAGCTGGGTAACTTTAGCAACAGTTTGCTAACCCACAATTGCCTGCTGCATCGTTTTTTGCACTATATCAAGGTATTTGTCATGGTACTGGATTTCTCTCTAGAATCGCTGACCAAACCTTTTATGCTGCACTGATGGATGTTTTTAACCACTTGGGGGAAGCAAACCAAGCTGAAAACGTTTGTATATTTTTAAAGTTGCCTATTTAGCGGACACAGGCATTAACTTGTAATGTTTGTCTATTATTCACTGTCCTTTTAACTCTGGTTTGGTCTCCACAGAAATATCTGGTTCTTAAGTTGCTAAATGCTCCACTATGTTCACCAGCTGGTCTCAAACTGGTGCTGGACAGGCAGTGTACAGTGGGTTTATCAGATAGCCTGGGAACGAGACAAAACTGCCAAGCTCATAATGTTTGATTCGCTCTGACAGATGAATCCGGCCACCCTTCCATTCAGACTGGATTCCACGTGTTCTGGATCCAGTCGGACCAACCGCAACTGTTTATTTAATATGGGGTGGGTTTTATACAATCATTGGCAAGAGGAGCGTCACCGGTCCAGATTTGAAAAGTCACACGTCACATGTTTCACTGCTCTGATTGATTGTAGGTCTATCAAATTGCATCCAGTCTGCAGGTCCGTCAAGGGCAACACACAGGCTCACAAAACTCAGGTCAAACTGTCAGACTAGGCAGTGCTTGTGTTGCTCAGCGCTACAGCGTTTCATTGCTCTGATTGGTTGTAGATCTATCCAGTTCCATCCAGTAGCATTTTGATAATGGACCCCATGGAAATCAAACAACATCAACTGAGAGGTTCCAGACTCATTTGCAAATTAGAAAATGCCAGGCTTTTCATCAGAGCTTGTTTGCTGCAAACATCCTGCAGCTGGTAACAAGGTTGATGAGACTGAACCAAACATTCAATGTGCTGTAAAACCAACACAATGAGCTAAATGATGCTATGTAGAACTACAGAGTTTGTGATAATCCTCTGTGGTTTTGTCACTCTGAGCGACCAATTACACGCACTCATTCTATCCAATGGTCGCTGACGTATCGCTCATTTAAAATGCTGAAAGAATTCTGTCATTTGAAGTGATGAGAATGATTAAAAACAGTGGATGCGGGAGCTGAGCAGGAAGTGGAGGTGGAGGACGTGACCTGATGGAGGTGGTGGTGGTGGCTCTCTGGTTATCAGCTGGACGTTTCTGCTCTTCCTTTCACAGAAGCACTTTCCACAGGAGACCCCTGTGGAAAGTGCTGCTTTTCCCATGAAACACATGCTCTCTCACACACATTATGGTGTTTGGTTCCAGTTCACAGCTAATGAAATAGCATGGTCCCAGGTGACTCTGACAACAAGCGCATTGATGTACTAATGTAAGATTACTTTTCCCAGCTTACTGACTTTCAATAAAGAGAACTATAGAGTCCTGATATTTAGTGCTCTTTTGTAATGTTTGGTTACTGTTGCTGTCTATCATACACTTGCTTGCTATACTACTTTACATTTACATTTAAATAAGGTTGTTTTTAAAATGCTTAATCCTATAAGTGCTTTTCATGTTGTTTGCCTGCTTTTTGTCCTTAGCGTTTAACTTCAACCTATACTTCAAAATTAGCTTTTTGGCTGAATCTGGCACATTTACATTTTAATGATGTCAATTAATGAGCATTATCCTTGATAAATAAATGTCACTTTATTGAGTGTCGGAATAACAGGTGCCTAAAACTGACTAAAATTTATAAGCATGAACTGACTAGCTAACTACAAAGGAACTAACCAACCACTGACTAAATAAGTATTTCTTGATATTGATACCATATGTTCTAATATTTACCTAAGCACTCAAAATAACACAGTTAACAGATAAACTTGTGTTTGTACCACCAGATCAAGTATTGTTATTTTAGTGGTCCATTAATGAAAATATGTATGTAGTGAGGAGCTGCATTGATAAATAAAAAATATATGCGATATACCTTATTATACTGAGATTTGAAATATGATTTTACAATTAGTTGGTGGGAATTGATGATTTTTGATTCATTTTCACTCAAAAAATATTAAAAAACCCATGATGTTTTGTGTTCATTTTATTTCCAGGCCAATCTCTTCCAGAACTACAGTATTTCATTATAATGCTGTTTTGTCACCAATTTTACCTTTTACAAAACAATTCTGTCTGTGATTTTTACTTATTAGTGCATATTGTGATTTTGATAATACTTTGAATAATTGTGCAGCCCCAGTATGTAGATTGGCGTCATTTTTTCTTCTATTTTTCTTAATATTTCAAAAAGGCTCTTATTGTTCAAATGATTTCCCACCCATCTGACTCCCATGCATGGTCAAGTAAGCAGCTCTGATGTCCTCAGATCTGATGATGTCTTTAAAGGGGTTAAGGGTCATATAGGGTTTTGCCACTAAAACACACACACACAAACACAGGTCCTTCACTACTCCAACACTACAGCCAGCAGTGACATACCGCAGGAGAAACTGAGGCTCATCTCTGCCTAATGGCTGAAAACAGAAAGAACAATACATTCATTTAACTCTCTGTTGTCAAAACATGCTTCTATAAAGCTCCATCTACAGTGTGGCTGTACTCTCATGAACAACTAAACTGGTGATTAAGACTTAACTTTCCTTTTGATCAGTTCAGGTTTGTCTGAGATGGATCACACCAAGCTTCACTTAAAAAGGTGTTGATTTAATGATGTCTTGCATATATGACAAGGTATAGCTTTTAAAGCATCATTTATACTTCCCAAAAGTCCCCTCACACGTTTTTAGTCTTAATACATATGTCTGATATAGTTTTCCACAAAAAAGTGCCTAGACAAATTACCCAGGTTCTTGTAGCCTAATTCAAATGATTTAAACTTCATCTAGCCTCATACTGCCTCATTAGAAAAAAAGCAAATTCCAATATTGTTTATGTCAAAGGTTTAACATTCTGAGAGGTAACAGTCATCAACCCGGAGGCAAACACATTTAGGAAGCTATTGAGGATCAGTCATATCTCTCTGCTTCACTCACCCTCCGGTCTCGGCTCCTGAATCCACGCAGTCATCTTCTGCTGAGGTTTTCTCCATCTCACAGGCTCGGCTGGACAGCACTCAGCTGCATGGTTCCAAAGTCCCGAGACCACGAATAAAACGTGCTGTTCAAAAACAGGCTACGGTTGAGATAAAACACGAGCAGAGAGTCTGAATGGACCGGTTTCTAACTTCTGACCTGCACTGAGCTGTCTGGTCAACTAGTTGGAGCAACAGGCGACAGACTGGCTGCTGTTTCTCTGCGTCAGCTGCGCTCTGAGGTGATGCCTTCCCGGCCCGTCGGAAATCTGAGAACTACGGTGGAAGCTCACATGAGGACGAGTGATAAATCAGTGTGGGAGTCTGATTTTGATTTTAATAATAAAATATAAATGAATGGAGTCAGACATAATTATGAGATAATTAGTTCGTTTTTTGTAAATCTTAACTTTTTGGAAATAGTAGGCTGATTTACGATTATGAGATGTTAAATTACGATTAAGCTTAATTTACTGTTTCATAATGTTAATTTACTCAGTCAAGATCAAATTATAAAGGCTACTGTCCATGGTCAAGACTAAATTTTACTCAGTAAATCTCGTAATTCTGAGTCAAAAAGTCACAATTTTTACATATCATCTTAGAATTTTGACTTCAGATGAGTATTATCTTTTTTGTCGTTTTAAAACGTCTATTTTTCTGCCACAAATGGGCCTCCATAAAGATAAGATGCTTATCTTACAGGGTTATTTATTTTGTATTGTTATTCTGTGTTAGAGCCCAAGGACTGTACTGGTTAGAATAAAAAATATGACCCTTAAGTATAAATAAATGGTACAACAAGAGAGTCTGACATCCCAAAATGTCTGCCAAAAACCATAGAGGTGATATTTGTGTTTAACAATATATTTCGTTCTAGACAAAAGAAAACCAATGAGCTTTGTAACTGCTTCTCTGGTGATGTTAAACTCCTTTAAAATCCTCTAAAGGGAAAGATTGCAACTATTTTGCGTTTGGTGTTGCTTTATTCGAGCATCAAATAAAGGTAGCAATATAAAGTGCGCTGCTTTTGCTCCATCAACAGGGTGAATGAGGTAGTGCAGCAAGTCAGACTAAACCCCGGAAGACAAAGAGGAGTCATCAAATTTCTGACCTCCAAACAATGCCGTTTCTGTTCATGAATGAAATCACATACATATTGGAAAGTCCGCCTTGTAAAGGGAACTACAGTTTCCTGATCAGTGGCGCATATTAAATGACTTTTTTCTCTTTTAATTTGAGAGGTACTTTGTGTAAGAGAAAAATGACCGAATATATTGTTTAAATACTATTCACTTTGTTATAATGTCAAGAAATGTGTGTCACTTTGTTAAAGATTACAGCTTGTGTGAAATGTATAGCTGGTGTGTAGACTGAAGCGATATAAATAAAGAAATAATGAATGCTATTATATGGTCAATTACATATTATTTTCTTATTTTCTTATTCTCATATTATTATTATTATTATTAGTATTAGTAGTAGTAGTGCCGT